GTGTTAAGGGGCATGAAGGGGTGTGAAGGAGTGTGAAGGAGTGTGAAGGAGCTGCGGGTGATTCTCTCCCCTCCATTCATAACCCCTGTGCTTTCAGAAATACCACTTACTTAACCTTTTTATTTCTTTCTCTAAACAACAAAACCAGTACATCTTATAGACTGCTATGGAATGAGGTAAATGTATGTGACATATTAGAGTTTATTTTTTCTTTAACCCATGGACTCACCTTCCGTTCCTGAAGTACAAGAGGCAATCCCTTCATCTGACTTGGTGGATCAGTGTCAGCCTGGAGTACTCTCCCATGCCACACAAATCTGTCATTGGTTTTTCCTTTTAAAAATTATTTTCATTAGAGACTTGGATGAAAAATTATAAGAGGGACCAATATTTTTCCAGTTTAAGATCACCCAGCTCATAAACGACAGGGTCCGCCCAAGGCCACAGGGCACAGAAAGCTCTCGGTGTCCCGCTGCAGAAGTGGGGACAGAATGTAAGCAGGCCGTTTGGAGGCTGCAACCTCATGCTTTTTCTGATGCATAAATGAAGTAAAACAAACAACACTAATGTGTTTTAGGGTACATTAACCGAAGTGTAGTTCAGATCAAGAAAAATATTAGTGTGAACCATAGAAGGCGCTCGGGTGTTTCTTTGGAAAAGGCTGAATTGTTAGACCACACTTGGAATATTGTGTTGTGATCTTGGTCCCATATGTTAAGAGTTGCTTTGCCAAGCCAGTCTCAGGGAGACTCAGCCTGTGAACACGCAGGAAACCGTGGTCAGACGAGAAAGGGTTGAGAGACATGTGATGTTTGACCTGGCAGGACGGCAAGGGTGGACTGGGGTCGCTCTTTCAAATATCAGAGATCTAATCAAGGGAAATGGGCTCACGCTCTGTGAACCCAGAGGCAGGGCAGTACCCCATTTATGAGAATCTAGTCTTCAAGCGATAGGATGGCTGACTTGGGAGGTGGCAATCGTGTATGTGTAGCGGTATTCAGGTGGAGGCTGGGAAATGAGAAGGTTCTGTTGGAAGAGGGCAAGGGGTGAAGGGGGGAGAGAGAGAGTTTTATCCGTTAAATTTTCCCTTAAGACAATTTCTATGAAAGATATTAGAAAATCATAATATTGATGAAAGTAGAAGGAATCTTATCCCACGCTCTTATTGTATAGAAAAAGAGTGTTTGTATCTATCTGTCTGTCTGTCTGTCCGTCCGTCCGTCCGTCCATCCGTCCGTCCGTCCGTCCGTCCGTCCATCCATCCATCCATCTATCTATCTATCTATCTATCTATTCATCTATCTATCTATCTATCTATCTATCTATCTATCTATCTATCTAATCTATTAATTTATCATCTGTCTGCTGACGATGGTGGGAGACTGGGGTTATTCAAATGAAAAATGTTGACTCCTCATTTCCTGCTTATTTGCTGGGCAAACCAGGCCTCTCCTGCATCTCCCCAAACTCCTTAAGGATCATTCCTTTTTCATCTCTCCATCTTCCATATAAAATCTCTGAAACAGAGAATCCTTCTAATCTATCCTCTCACTTCCCTTCCTCTCTCACCACCTTATCTCATTACACACAGCCGCAGTCTAAGCCTGAGAACATGGCTGTCACATTCTCACATGGGCCTTAGGTCGAGCCAGACTTCCAGCCCCTCTGAGATGCCACCCCACCTTTGAAGGGACAAACCCAAGGCAAGTGTGGGCCTACGAGTCAGCCTTTGGCTTCTCTCCTTCCTCCCATTACTCCATCACACTCTGGGGACCCAGCGTGAGATCCAGAGCCCATGGCTGGTAGCCTGCCCCATGTTGCTGTTGACGAGGGAAATCCAGGACAGTTGCCTGTGTTGTACATGATCCTGGCACTTTCCAGAGCTCAGCCTTCATAACTTCACTCTGTTTGTTCTCGAGCCAAGTTCACTTTCAGATATTGTTTTCATTTGGTGTCTGGGAGGATTTTTTTTGTTCCTGTCAGCTCTTTATGGACAAGTGTTTGCTCATTAGGTTGTCTTCTGTGCTCTAGTGTGAAAACATTTTTCCTTTGGTTTTGTTTTGTGTGTTTTATGCTCAGTGACTGTTGTGGGATGGAGTGGATGAGCCCACATAGATGTAGGTTGGTCCTCTGTGGGTGGTTTCAAATGCTTGTGACATTTATGGTTTGCAGAAGCTGAAGGGGTGGCCCACTCTATACCCTCCTTGCAAGGATAGGTATGTCATATGTTTGCCAGACCACGCTTAGCTATGCACTTTTGGAATTTTACCATAACTTTTTTTGGCCTGATTCTCCACACTTTTTTTTTTTAAATCTGTAAA